TACCTCGTTGGGTTCCATCATGTCTTGGGTTTCAGGATGGCAAGAAGGAAGGCAAATGAGGAATGAGAGAACCCCAAACACAAGAGACGCGCCAGTCCTACGTTACAAAGGCTTTCCTAATTCGTGCAGTTTAACATTGACTGGAATTGTGCGTCTCATCATAGTAAAGCCTGTTGCTTTTCCTATGTTCAGAAAAAACATACATACAATATATGTATGTTGCATATTGCAGCATGATATTGGTGGTGTGTAAAGCAACTGATCTCCGCAGACTTTGCACTTACTTGCAAAGCCTGCGGACTGACTTTGCAGACTGGCTGACAATGAGCAATGCATTGCTGACTGATATCATTTATTCTGTGTTTGTAGCACAAAGTACAGAAGTGGCACATACATTGTTACTTTGAAAACCTGATGTGAATTTGATGTAGAAAATTAGTGGCTGACGTTGAGTCCTTACGTATTGTGAGTAGTGTACAGCTGGTGCATTGAGCACAGACTTGAGACCAGTGACGTTTGTATCAGTAGACTGTGTTTGAGTCTACTTATCTACTACCCTTACATGGCCTTGGTTTGAGTGTGGTGACCGAGTAAGCTGGTGTGTATAGCCATGCAATAAGTGTTTTGAAATATATTTTTGGGACAGTATTGAAATGGTGTGTTTTGGCCATCTGGCATGGATGATGGAAAGCCACTAACTCAACTTCAGGAACGCTTCTTCATTATGCTCATCTAAGGCACAATCATCTATTTTTTCTTGGCGCAAGGATTGATTACTAATTCACTGTCAATTAAACCTGGTCCAGAAGGTTTCGCTGGGCCACACGGTTCATACAGATTCATCCACAGTGCTCAGCAGTGCATGTTTTCAGATTTCAACAGACTGTAATTGTTTCTGTATGTACATATGCATCATGCAAGGGTACAACAGATGCGGTATTTGGTAAGCAGTTGGCAGCAAGGTGGTGTTTGTACTTATTGGCAGAACCAGTTGAGCAGGACTAAAACTATCCTAGTTTCTCTCCAATTTACTCAGATCCGTCTCAACACATTGAACATATTGAAAGCGTCCATCCATGAAGATGTCTGCATGTATACTCATTTCCGAGAAGGCACGCTCGTCGCTCATCCATTGCCGAGCAGGCACGTGCGTGCCCATCGCCGGCGCGCATTAGCGCGCGTCCATGGCTGGGGCGCACGCGCGCGGCCATGGCCGGCATGCACGCGCGCGCGCCCATCGTCGGCACGCAAGCGCGCGCGCGTCCATAGCCGGCGCGCGCGCCGCGTCCTTACCCGGCGAGAACGCCGCGTCCGTACCCGGCGCGCACCCGCGCGCGTCCACAGCCGGCACTGACAGACCCTGACAGACGGGCGTGCTGCCGTCGGCGGTCCTGACAGATGGGCGGCGGGCCCGGCTCCCGCAGCTCCGGCAGCGGGCGGCAGCCATGGTCGGCATACACGCGCGCGCGCCCATCGTCGGTACGCAAGCGCGCGCGCGTCCATAGCCGGCGCGCACCCGTACCTGGCGCGCACCCGCGCGCGTCCGTACCCGGCCCGCACCCGCGCGCGTCCACTGCCGGCACTGACAGACCCTGACAGACGGGCGTGCTGCCGTCGGCAGTCCTGACAGATGGGCGGCGGGCCCGGCTCCCGCAGCTCCGGCAGCGGGCGGCAGCTCCGGTGACTGTTCCGGCAGCTCCGGCAGCGAGCGGCGTCTCCGGCAGCGCTCAGCAGCGGCGTCAAGCAGCAGCAGCGGCTGAGCCAACAGGCGGCCGCGGAGGCACGCCCCCCCCGGCCCCCCCTTTGCACATTGTTCGTCCATGGAGATGTCTGCAAGCACGACCATTGTTGAGAAGGCACGTGCATCCATGGCTGAGCACTGAGCAGGCACGTGCGACCCCTTAGCACATTGTTCATCCATACATATCAATATAATTTACCTTATTGATTAGTGTGAGTCTTGCAAAATCTTAAACTCAGAAATACCACAAGGCAGGCTGCCTGGGTGAGTTGCTAATATGAACATAATGAACATTATACATTAGTGCAGTACCTATAAGTATCTATGCTGTGTGAAGGACTTGGCCCTCACGTTCATTCGTTTGGTGATTGCACATGGTGGCATGTGTACCAATTGTTCTCCCTAACCCTTCTTACAACTTTGACTAGCAAGTAGAAGCTGGCAAAATGCAAGGAGCTTACAAAGCATGCTTATATGTAGATAACTGAGGATGATTCTCTCAATTGAAGCATGATCCACACTCATCAGCTTCTTCTGTTCTGTTCCACAAACTAAAACTGAAATGACTCAATTTTCCTCAAAATATATTCATTTATCACTCATAAACAACAAAAATATACATTAAGTAGGTACCAGGGCAATAAAAACATACAAGTTACATATTTTTTTCATGTACAGTCCTTTCACAGCAACAATATGTAGAAACGCACCAAGACGTTCACGGAGAGCCCACCCATAACAAACTATAGTTGAAGCCGGGGCTCTGCTGCAGCAGCAGGGGTGATGTACAGGGCACAGAGGTCATGTCACATCATGTTGTACAACCTGTTGTTCGAAAAACAGATCAACATTGATTTTGAAAAATTGTAGCGCTTTCTTCAGTCACTTAGGTAAGCTTTCTCGCATTAGATTCACCACTCTTGACAAAATAATCAGATTGAAACTTAGCTCTTGTGCCTGATGCACTTGAAATAAAACACTCAAATTATACCCTTGAAAATTGTTGACATTTAAATGATATTAACATCAAGATTTTGATGATCAGAGGGGTGTTCACGGGCACCGCACACTGCTGCGTGCGGTGTGTGCGGTACGTCCAGCAGGCGTGGGGGTAGGGGATGGGTAGGCGGCTCTGACGTCACGGCTGCGTGCGGTGGACGGTCCGCTGTGGCCAGTCCCGACCGGCCACAGCGGTCGCTGTGTGCGGTGACGCAAGGCTGACGTAGGGACGCAGTGGGCGGAGCTTGGAGGCTGTGTGCGGTCCGACCGCACACAGGGTCCGTGAACAGCCCTCAGCAAACAAGCTATTCAAATCACACCCATATAATAACTTTGGCAATGTTGATAACTCTTGCTGTCTTATTGAAAAGCAAATCTTCAATTTGTTCATATCCAAATCCAATGCCATGCACTGAAATCTTGTTGCAAGGCCCTAAAAACAACAGACAAAAACAAAACAGTCTTGTGGAAATCGCCAGTGCGGTGCGGCGGCCAAGCGGCGGCCTTGCGAAATTTCCCAAGGCTGCTCTTTGTTTACATTTTAGCGATGGGCCAACTTTGCCGCCCAAGTACTTGTTTTGCGTGAGTAAGTACAATTTTGTCAATTTTGAAACGGCTATATCTCGCAAATTTTGGTACCGATTTACATTTTATGCATATCTTTAGAATCGGCAGAGTCTGGGGAGTTCATTGATTGGAAATTTATGCCGATTCCTTTCAATTTTTAAACCCTGATAATCCCTTTAATGGACTGGACAGAATAAAAACTGTTTCACACGCATGCATAAATATGCTTAATTGAATCTAAAAATAAAAACTATGTATTTTATATAGTTAAGTAATCCATGGTTCTGCTGCTAAACTAAAGATGGCTGCCCACTTAGCGCATGCGTACTTCAGTACTAAAGTCCTGGCTACACTATGCGTGTTCTGCGTACGTTTTTTGCGAGCTTGCGTGTTTTGCGTATATTATATAAAAGTTAATAAAACCTTTTATAATGATTTAATAAATAATTTTTTTTTGTATAAAAATATAACAAAAACAAAACATAATATCGTTTCTTTCTTGAACTATACCTATTATGCAAATCACGCAAACTCGCAAAAGCAAAAAACGCACGCAGAAAACGCGAACTGGCCAGGCCTTTACAACTTGCAACTCAGCTCCGCCGCGTATGAAGTTTGGTGTCATGGGGCGGGCTTGGAATTGTTATTTTGCCATTGAAGATACGGATGGTTGAGGCAGTTTTATCATGAGAGCATTCAATTTATATTATGTAATTATTGAATAGCTTCGTATGTGTCGATATTCCGTATTCTTGATAGTAAAGAAAACTTGTAGCTCGCCGAAAATGTCAAGTCCTGTGTAATGCTTTACCGGCTTTACCACTGCTTCCTAAAGTATCAATCAATATTTTTTTTTAATGGCTGATCACCAGCTATTTTAGTTTGGGTATCACAATTGATTTGCAAATTTTGGTCCTTTTCGATGATGCTGATAATATGTGGTAGTGTTCTGTGCAATTTTGCGTGTTTCCTTTTGCAAGCGCCAAGCCAATAAATTAATTTTGATAAGTCCTCTGGTAGCTTCATTTGAAACAGAACTTGTGTTTTCTGTACTTAAATTACCATCTTTACACCGTATTTATATAAATAGCTACAACTTTGTTGAGTTCAGTATAGATTTAGTACTTTTCTATGTTTTTTGGTATTCTCCTAGTGTATTTGGTTGGTATCTGTTTGGTATCAGTTTCCAAAAATGTCTTAAATTGATATCACATATGTATATATTTTATATAACATCTTGATTGAATCGCGTTGACTTAAATCATGAGTTGAGTCATTCCCTGAATCACTGATAATGGGATGAGTCGTGATTGAGTTGAATCACAAGGTCCATGAGTCGTGATTGAATCGCTTGGAAAATCAGACTGTTTGATTGAGTTATGATTGAATCGGTCATTTCATCAAGTGAGTCGTGATTGAATTGATTGATTTTTTTTTTAATCGTTTACAAGTCTGTTGATTACATCAGTTCTAAGCAGCAGTCCACATCAGACAAATAGGACAAAGTTTGTTGCTTGATTTGTGATGTAACCAACGCATCAATGAACCATGGAGACTGGATACAAGCAATGATTTGTTGGGGGATTGTGTCAAGAAGGTGGCATCTGCGTGGGGGGCAAGAACGTTTCTTCAAGAAATGGTGGATATTGGATAGGTAATGTTGTCTAAGTGAGGCTGCATGCACTCAACTTACCTGATCAGAAGAGATGTGGGTTTCAGAGAATTTATTGAAGAACCGTATCCGTACCTTCGAGCTTCAAGAACAGCAGGAAACACAGGTTCAGCTGTGGAGATACCAATGCTACGTTCAGTCACACCCATAAATGATGTACACACCACTCTGGCAAAAAAGCGATAATGGGGAAAACAGCAAATTTAATCACATGTAAATCACGCAACAAAACAAAAGAAACTTATCAAAAATGTACCTAAATCACTTTGTATCAAACACATGCCTATGTAAAAACAGCACTGGTCAATTATGCGAATATAAGAGCTAAAAAGTTGAACTGGTGTAGTAATATGCTGCTGGCTTAGCAGACACAACAGCTTTTGACTTTTCTTGGCAGTGAGGTTGATGGCACAAGTTAGAACTTGGACAGAAAGTGATTTGGATATAATCCAATTGAAAGGTCAGGAAAATGCCAATTTTTGACATCTTGGAAATATCTCAACCCATCTTTTTCACTGTTAATGTTTGTAATCATTATTGCATCATTCAAAATTTGTTGTACGTGGCTGAACACTTTTTTTAATGCTTGATCAAAGCCAAAATGGATTTGGTCACATAAAACTATAACTGAAGACCCAGATACCTGACTGACTGATGATTTGGCATGGAAAAAAGAACTGTTTCAGCATTTCTGATCCATTCAGTTCAACTTGATGGCAATGGCTATTGGCTTACCTATTACATGTGCATAATAATTAAACAGGCATATGCTGAGCTGACAGAGAGAGGTATTCATAAAACCAAACTGTCAATAAAATATGAGACAGAGTACATTGGAGACATATTTAAGACTGTAACTGTTTACAAATACCAAGAATGTTCTAAAATATGAGGCAGAGTACATTGTTAATATATTTACAAGACTGTGACTGTAACTGTGCAAGACTGTAACTGTTTAGAATACCAGGAATACAATGTGCTGTGGCATTCTGCTCCAATACTGATACAGAAAAGGAATAAAGCGAGCATGCGATTCTCTTTTAACATTACTACAAAGGAAAGAGTGTAATTTTTAACTATTCAGCAAACTGCAATCTTTAGGCTATCAAAAGAAAAGCTTGCTTCCAGACTGTGATGCACAGGTCACCATTTATCATGGTATTTATAGTCACCATGGTTTTGCATATTCTAATGCCAATACAAAATTACTTCTTAATCAAATAAGTACCTAACAACTAACAAGAACATACAAGAACATTGTACATCCACAGCAGCTAGATTAAATCCCAAAGATGACAGAACTAGCTCTTACTTATCATCAATTTCCCTTTACATTAGTTATGCTGTGACAGCCAAACAATGAGCCAGCTTGGTAATTGACCTTAAAGGGACCCTCCCACCTTCAAAAAAGTTTATGAATTGGCATGAAAGTGATGTCGCTCGGTTCAGAAAGAGCGAAAACGAATATCTACCAAAAAATATTCACCGGTTTTCAAGATATTAGACTTTTACTTTTGTTTACTTTTTTGGGATCTCAGCTGTTTCTAGCGACTTTATTTTAGAAGTGCGGCGTTTGCGGCAGATGTTGCGCGCAAATAGCATATACCACCGCGTGCTACAAAACGTTTTAGTCAAACATTTAAAAATCGTTAGATATCTGCGCTGACGTCACACATTCAGAGGGGTATTCCTAAGCATTAGCCCCTCTGAATCAAAATGCTGCAATTTTGGAATTCAATATTTCCGATTTAAGGCATGTCTCGATGTTGTGAGTACCGAGACCGGTAATTGTGAGCCAGGGACCCCATTTTGGCTATCTCAACTCAAATCTAATGTTAAGGTGGGAGGGTCCCTTTAAGCTCATGCTTGCTTGCTAGCTGCAACTGAGCTTAACTCACAACTGAAACAATATTTTACTTGATGCCTTTGAATTTTCATCAATTAAACATGTGTGTTGTGTACCATGTAACACCAAAACTTTGATAAAAAAGAAATGACTGAGTAATAATTGTAGCAAGCCTTTTCCGAATCACCATTGTTGATAAAAAATCCTTGAATACTAATTTTCAATTACCAAATATTGACTATATATAATACTCAAGATCTTGCCAGCAACAAAAAAAAGAAATGTGTGTCTATAGGCTCTAGTTCTACCCTTTCGCATAAATGCACCCGTCAGGCATCATTTTCAGCAAGCAAACAATGGCCAAAGCAACTCTGATGCATCAGTATCAGTAAACTTTGGTACGTGTTTTGTGCTGAAGATATACTTAACCCAAATATTTGCGATATTTGCTACCTAGTCAGTTGAAAGGCCAACATGCTTTGTCGAGCCAATGCAGCAATAACTGTGAATTGTGATCCATCCCTGCCCTTTACCTTTGCAGGAAATACGCACAGACAACGTGCGATGTTTATGCTCGCACACGAGCACAAAGCAGCATACCTACCTTACTGATGACAGCTGGGGTAAATATAATCAAAATAAAACAATAAAATGAAGACCTTCACAAATCACCAACCACTCTTTACAAGCGAGAGGATTTTTCTTCCTCGTTGGCATGCTTCAACGTCGCATGACCTTGGAAATAACCAGTTATGCATCCGGTGCGCCAGAATGTCTGAAAAATACACCCACGTAAAAATGTCCTTGATAAAAAAGAGCTGCCAAATTCTGAAGGTTTCCTGCTTCGCTTTTTATGGGACTTTTTTCATTTTGTTTTGAGCGGATTCTTTGTTTTCTTAGTCACTCTTAAGTTGGTCTTAACATAGGTGGCGGAACGGGGAGGGCACCGGGGCCGGGCACCGTGCCCCCCATGGTTTTGCCATTTTAACATTAGCCCTATGCTGGCCTGCTATGGGCGTTGCATGGAAAGAATGGGACCAAAAGTCGGTAGTGCCCCCTTTAATTGAAGGATCAGAACAGTGGTGGATCCAGGATTTCGTCAAGGGGGGCCATACGGTGTTGTGGTGCCCCCTGGCATTTGGTGCCCCCCCCCCCCCGTAAAAAAAATCCACGGATTTCGGCCACTTACTTTTCGGAATGGTGCCCCCTCAGACCACCTGGGGAGAGTGCCAGTGGCGCAGCCAGAACTCTGGCGACGGGGGTGAGAGACGTTCGCGATGGGCCCCCCAGCAAAGTGGGCCCCCTCAACCAAATGGGGGCCCCTTACCAACAACGAAAGGTCAGATCATTGTCATCATTACCAGCCAAATCGGGGAAAAGGACGAATATCTCTTGATCTGAAGAGGCACGTAAAAAACAACAGCATATTTACAGAAACACGACCATTCTGCCCATATTTGATGGACAGCGTGCAATTGATGGCCAGCGGCCACTCAAAGGGTCGGGCTAGGTCAAAAGGCTTTTAAAAAAGCTCAACATCAGTTTTTCGACTATTACTTTTGATATAAGAGACGAGGTAGCGTTATGACATAAGACATTGTCTTGAAGGTGTTAATCATCCATACGGATCGGTTGATGACCATCATGAACTTCTCAAGTAAGGGCATGACCTTGGTCTGCGGTCACATTTTGAAGTTGAACTTTTTATGTGAAATTCTAGGTAGCTCATTCGATGCATGTTAACAAGAGAATGATGACAAAGTAGATGCCTCATAGTTTTTCTCACCAAAGTCCTTGCAAAAATTCTTAGCAAAACTGTTTTGGTATAATGCGACTATTTAGATGGTTTTGCCGGTTTTACCCTCTGCTCTGTTGCCAAACCATTGACATGAGGCATTGAGGTCAAATCTTAAAAGCGTGAGCGTTTTGAAAGGCCTATCGAATGAGTTGTTCCGCAAAGCTCTAGCTCTTTGGTTCACGAGTTACGGGTTATTTGTGAAAAATATAAAAACAATATTTTTTTCGTCGTAATCTTTTCTTTGTGTTTATCATAATTTTATCATAATTTCATCTTCAATGACCTCAGCGATGACCTAATCGAAAAATGACCTCTACGATTCTGAAGCATCCTATAGCTATCCGTTGCTTTTCTCGTCTTTCTAGCCGTCTTAAATTATGATCAGGTTTGGCCGATACGCCCCCCCCCCCCCCCCCCGCCATGGCTGATTGCACGAGTTAGAGAGCTATCGAGCCCACTTTCAGCGCGCTATAGCTTTTTATGTCCTCGAGTGTCAAAATAGGCGAAACTTTTCTTTCGATGAACATTATGACGTGTGCTTTGGTCTGAACTGCAATATGACTGAAGTAATTTCTCCATGATTTTCGACGCTCTTTAGAAAGCCGCCTAACGCCGCACTTGTCGCTACGTGACCCTGGAGTCAGGTAAAAGGGAATATTCAAACACCCCTCAGGGACCTAAAACTGGAAAGCCTGGGGCCCTGCTCTGCGGTGCGCAGTCGAGCTAGGCTTGAGCCAGTTTGGGATATTTACAAGCCCACGTAAAGCCCTCAAGAATCTGCATAGAGCACAGGCCTTCCAAGACTTCGGGGTTTAGATATCGACAATCGACGCATGGTCTTTTGAGGCCTGCGTGGTGGCTATCAGAGGTCGGTGGGCCCCTCAAAAGCCGGTGCAGGAGCCTCAGGTGTCAGTTTGGAGCCATCATGGACCGGTGTGGGGTCCTGATAAATGCCTAGGCGTCAAACCCCTAGACGTCTGGGTGGGGCCGGGCAGTGAGGCAGGCACAGGCCTGAGGAGAAGATTTTCAGATGTCGGCTTGGCAGGGCCCTGCATGGCTTTCTCAGAGGCTGACATATCGTACTGCGGGACCTCCATCATAGGCGGCGGAACGGGGAGGGCACCGGGGCACCGTGCCCCCCTTTGATTTTGGCATTTTAACATTAGCCCTATGTTGGGCGTTGCATGGAAAGAATTAGACCAAAAGTCGGCATTGTCCCCCCCCCCCCTTAATTGAAGGTGTTCCGCTGCTTCTGAACTCCATGAGCCTCAAAAACCTAAATGGGCTCCCTCACGCTTGGGGTAGGCTTCCTGAAGCATAAAATCACTGAGTCTTGAGATGGGTTCATTAGACATGAACTGGGCCATCAATATACATGTGGTTAGTTGACCTATATCAAACATGATATCGGTTCAATCAGGATTGGGGAAGGCCCTCTCAGAACCAGACCAGGCACGGAGTACGGACCCTCCCACACATAGGATGATCCTTTCATTCCTGGGATGTCTTCTCAGGCCTGAACTGGGCCCTCTCAGACCTGAAATGGGCCCTTCTCAGGCCTGAAGTAGACCCTCTCAGGCCTCAAAAAGGTCCTCTAGGGCCTGAAATGGGCCCTCTCAGGCCTGACATTAGCCCTTTCAGACCTGAAATGGGCCCCTCTCAGGCCTCAACTAGGTCCTCTAGGGTCTGAAATGGGCCCTCTCAGGCCTGACATTAGCCCTCTCAGACCTGAAATTGGCCCTCTCAGACCTTAAATAGGCCCTCTCAGACCTGAAATGGGCCCCCTCAGCCCGGAAATGGTCCCTATCATGTCGAAAAAGGGCCCTCATACCGTAACTGGGCCCTCTCAGGTCTGAAATGGTGCCTCTTATGCCTGAAATGGGCCCCTCTCAGCCCTCAAACGGGCCCTCTCTGGCCTCAAACGGGCCCTCTCTGGCCTCAAACGGGCCCTCTCTGGCCTCAAACGGGCCCTCTATAGCCTCAAACGGGCCCTCTCTAGCCTCAAACAGGCCCTCTAGGGCATGAAATGGGCCCTCTCAAGCTTGAAATGGGCCCCCTCAGGCCTGAAACGGGCCCTTCTCAGGCCTGAAATGGGCCCCACTCAGGCCTGAAATGGGCCCTATCAGGCCTCAAACATGCCCTCTAGGGCCTGAAATGGACCCCTTCAGGCCTGAAATGGGCCCTCACAGGCATCAAATGGGCCCTCTCAGGCCTGAAATGGGCCCCTCTCAGGCCTCAAACAGGCCCTCTAGGGCCTGAAATGGGTCCTTTCAAACTTCAAATGGGCCCCTTCATGCCTGAAATGGGCCCTCACAGACCCGAAATGGGCCCTCTCAGGCCTGAAATGGCCCTCTCATGCCATGGAACGGGCCCTCCTAGGCCTTGGATTAGTTCAATCGGGTCTTGGATGTACCCTCTGAAATCATAAAATGGGACTATAAATCCTAAAGGGGGCTATCAGGCCTAAAAACTGTTTTCAGTCCTATGACGGGCCTTGACATTATGATAAAAAAAATTGTCAGGCTGCATAACGTTACAGTTAGAATCGACGGTGGGCCCCTAGGATAAGAGACGGGGGTGAGATCTCACCCCTTTCACCCCCCCTGGCTGCGCCACTGGAGAGTGCTCCTTCAGACCTCGGATTTCAGAATGGTGCCCCTGGAAACTTGGAATGGTGCCCCCCCCCCCCCCCCGGAAACCTCGGAATGGTGCCCCCGGAGACAGACTTCGGGATGGTGCCCTCGGATACTTCGGGATGGTGCCCCCTCTGCCCTCAGACCTCGGGATGATGTCCCCAGACCTCGCGATGGTGCCACCAGAGACCTCGGGATGGTGCCCCCGGACCCTCGAGATGGTGCCCCCTCCGACTTTGGGATGGTGCCCATGGAGAACTCGGGATAGTGCCCCCGGAGAACTCGAGATGGTGCCCCCGCGGACCTCGGGATGGAAATACCCCCACCCGAGGCGAGGGACAGAAATGGGCCTCCGGGAGGCCCCAAAAACGGTACCCTATTCCGATAGACATTCTGGATAGACATATGCATAGATAACAGTTGAACTACTGTTCTACTGTTATCTATGACATATGCCCCCTTAGGATACCTCTGGGTTGAAGGGTGACCTCCGTGATGAAATAAAAAAAAAAAAAACATCCGTGGTGGTGCCCCCCGGGAGGCACAGGGGGGAGGGGCATGGCCCCCATGCCCCCTCCCCCTGGATCCGCCACTGGGCGTGAATGCTTTGTTCACGGTCCAGTCTTTGCTGTGCTATCCACAAAATATTGAGAACATTTTAAGGAAGGCAGAGAATGGAGAATAACAAAGATTAAAAAATCACCGAGAACTGTCCAAACATCGACTCGCATGATTACGAGTAGCCAATGGTGAGCAATGAGGTCTCAGGCCCGCCATGGCATAAGACTCGATTTCTGAACATCAGCTAACCTAATGACACTGGTGGCTGTGGTGCATGGGGAACATGGGGCATGCCCCCCTCTCCCCTCCCCCCCCCCCAGATTTTTTGACAGAGACAGCAACAGTTGCGTTTTGGCAAGATTATTCAACTTTTGTTATATGATTTTTTGTCGTCGTTCAATAATGTATCGTCATTATAGCACATGATATATGATATTATTATTTTATGTTGCGGCTGACACATACCTATTATACTAATATCAATTCTCACTATATAGGTATGTACAGCCCTCTGCAGACTGCGTGGTAACTGGTAGGTATTCTTTTTTCGACAAAACCGAGAATAACGCGAATACTATGCTATCAGGCACTCGGAAATCGTAACAGCAAGATGCGCGAGACTCCGCAGCTTAGATTGGCATTATCATCGTATGCATTTTCCATCCAGTTTGGCAACAAAACCCAATGAAGTTTAGATTTGCCACCAAAAGGAACTTTTACATTTTGTTGCCGCACAAGGCGTATGCTTTGTTTATTGATAGGCCCTATCGAAGGAGTGGAGCATGGCGCATCTATTTGCAGTGAGTTTCGACCGACTGATAAAATGACTTTTGAATTATTATCAGTTTTGTCGGAAAAAGAATACCTACCACGCAGTCTGCTGAGGGCTGTAGGTACCTACACGCAGTAGCTAAACGGCGGACTGGTTTACACCTTTAGAAAAAACGATTCTCACCGATAGGGACCCAGTTGGTGCTGCGTGATTGGCACGGTCTGTAATGTGAATGCATAGTAGGTAAGATTTGACACCTGCCACGATGTCATTGAGGTAATCGGAAATACTTGGTTGGCAAAGAGTCAAACCATAGTCAAATAGAAGGACATTCGAAGCGGCGCCACTGTGCTCTAGATTGGATAAACTCCGAGATAAACGGTCCGACTTTGTCCAATCTGGACGTAACAGCTCTCGTCAGTCGTTATCATCATATGGCGACCCACGATAAGCGACAAATCGTGGCGTTATTGTCGCGAGGAAATCAATGGACGTAAATTATGTGTTAGATGAAGTGCTGTTCTCGCAGTAAGGCTCAGCTGAGGATCGCCTATTTTCCGAGTGGACAAGAGTCGGTGACGAGAGCCCGGTTCGATGTGAGTCTGAGGTCATCATTTGCCGCGTTCACCGGCTACTTCCGAGTTCCGACTTTGTGAAAAAGCCGCACATTATGTACTGGGCTTACCTACCTCTTCTTAGCTGTCTGCAATGCCTCGTGTACGGCTCAGCTTCATATTTACTTTAATGCGCCCTGCTGGAGGGGAGGGGGAGTTTTTACGTCCCCCTCAGGTTTTTGGCACACCTTATCATACATGTTTTCTGCACATGTTGTAACAAATATCAGGCCCGGGTCGTTCAAGGTCGGGTCACCAGGTCACGACAAGTGATCTTACCTAAGAAAAAATACAATGATCATCATAGCTACAGCGACTAAACGATCACTTTGAAACTTTTAGAGACTGATAAGAGTAACAGTATACATAAAATGTAGGTCTCGGAATTGTGATATTGGTGACCTAAGGTCAGGTCTATTTTGCGACCTTTCCATTACCTGTACATAAGTCAAAGGAAGAAAATTGAAATGCGCGTCTTTTGGAAGAAAGTTAAACCTTACACTCCAAACATCAAATAACAGGTAAACATGACACGCTGAATCGAAAATTGCTATCCATGACCCCTCTTTATGGCCCTGAGGTCATCTCAAGTCGAGAAAGGTTCCCGACAGTTTTTTTTTTGCAATAACTTTTGCTAGAGACATATTAGAGCGATGAAAACACCTTTGATGAATTCAGCTGGACGACTCAGCTTGACGTTATGGATCGACCGATATGCAGCATGATCTTTTCCGGTCAATTCTTGACCTTGACCTAAGGCCAAATCTTAGAAAATAACCTTCAAAAGCATAATTCATTCGACGCGTCTCAACGAAAGGAATACGATGTTATCAAAAGCAATGTTGTAACTTTCTGGGGTCAAGAGTTATCGTAGAAAAAATCGTAAGAACGGCTACTTTGAGTTTTTGCTCCCTGGAGGCTAAAACGTTGATCTAAAGTCAAACCTGAAGGCTAAATCCAGAAAGAACGTTAAAAGAGCTATCGAATGCGCTTTTCCGCGGCGTTGTAGCTTTATTGGCTCCCGAGTTATGCGCCGCTTTGCAAGAAAAAAAGGTTGAAATAGTAACGCATACTTACTTTTGCACTTTTTTTGTGTCTTTCGCCATGTACGATTTAACTATGATAACTGTGATAATAAGATAACTTTGGAAGGATCAATTAGCTAATTGGTAATAGGTATCGAATTAATTCTCAATTCTTATCAATCAAATGTGCTTAAATAGAGCCGAATAAGGTATAGAAAATACTGAGCTGAGAGCTCACAAGATGAGTTGAAAACGCTCATCGTGCCCATGACCCATCTGAACACCGGAAGTAAAGCTGGTATAACCGGAAGCAAAGCTGGCATAGGACACATCCGTGATATTGCGGACAGGTCCAATTTTTAACCCGCGCACCGACGGGGGTCTGCGCCAACTTAGTACCGACGGGGGGGGGGGGCGGATGACCGCCCCCCCCCCCTGAGATCTCGAGAACGAAGCAAGATAGCGACAAGCGGTAAACGGCATCGGATACGCACGGTCAAGATCTACAATTTTTACTAAGGTCATTTTCAGGTCAGGTCAAAGATGACGTCACAGGGGTCGAAAAAGTCAAAATGGCGGCGCTAAATATGGAGAGAGTTTTTCTCGAATAACTTTCGAATTAGTCAAGATAGGAACAAACTAAGGGCATCATCGTGATCCTCTCGTCAATCCGCATCGAATGATATATATGTTGACCTCGAAAGGTCAAGGTCAAAGGTTGACCTCAGGTCACGTGACCTCGAGGTCATCATGTATATCATTCGATGCGTCTTGACGAGCTGAACACAATGAGACCATCCACGCGTCTGTATCTTGTTCCTGTACGGAGTTATTGGCCAAAAACCTTTGGTGACCTTTGATGACGTCACATGACCTCACAGCTGCCCAACAGCAAAACAGACCTCAAGGTAGTGAAGGTTGAATGTTGATCGTATATGAAGTCATGTATGGTATATGGGGCCATTCCGACCCGTTTTAGTGGTAAAAACAGGGAGTTGATTTTTCCCCCATTGACTTATAATGGGGAGGTCGCGAAATTGACCCGACCTTAGGTCACCGATATCAAAATTCCGAGATATACAAATTGTAGCTACTAATGACCTAATAACATCCTGCGACTTTCAAAGGCCTCCGACATCTACTGTAGCTCTGGCACGGTGACAAAGTTGCAAAAAAGTGACTTGAGGTTGGGTCATTCAAAGTGACCTGGTGACCTGACCTTGAAAGGTAGGAGGTTCAAACTTGCACACCATGTGTAAAATTGATAAGGGAATAGTCATACCAAATTTCGCGGCGCTACGCGCCGCGGTTTTCCCGCTATTCGCGAAAAACCTCAGGGGGGGGCGGATATCCGCCCCCCCCCCGTCGGTGCGCGGGTTAAAGCCAGACGAAGTGTGTTGTAAAATTTAGGACACATACCGACTGTGTAATAAAGTCAAACGAAATATATATCTGCTTCGTACCACGATTTCGTCGTCGGGGTGTGCCCAAAGCAATAGACATTTTTACATCCGTCAGTACTTAATAAGTTTAGGAACAAAAAGGGGAAAAAGGATCAGCAAAGCTATATTTAACCATAATATCAAATCAATGGATGCCTGCAACATGACCGAAACATTTGGCACTACAAATGTTTCGGTTATATGTAATGCGTGTCAGCCGTCAGGTGGGGTGAGAAAAATAAGGCGGTGTTGGCATATAGAGCGTGCACATGCGGAAGAGATAATTGACGCACAAGTGTGGCGCTAATCCAGCGATTAGAGAGCGTCGAGCCGAAGGGTTACTCGGAGCGCCAGACGCAGACCGGAGAGTGGGCTCGGAAAAAAGATGGGAGAGAGAGAGAGAGAGAGGGAGAGAGAGAGGGGGGAGGGAGGGAGAAAGAGGGAGAGCGACCAGTACAACCACATTTACCGGTACTCCATTTTTTCTCAAAGCAAGGGCTAAACAAATACATAAAAATTCTGACAAGATTAAGATGATGCAATCATGGCATGCATCGCATCATTAGAAATTTGCATATAGATGAATCAACGAAGTGGCGATTACATTTTGTCAAAGATAGAACGTTGCATAGAAAAAGGTCATCCACGTGGGTCGCGTCAATCATCTCAATCATTATTAGATTTTTCGTGGTAATTCTGTCGCTGATTAAGAGAAGACTGCCTGACAGCTGTCTGATAAGACGCTCAGTACAGTCGGGCACTCGGAGCTTGTCGTCAGTTAGCGCACCTATTCGAAGTAGGTCGGCGGAAAATGCAATGAAAATGCACTGGGAATCCTTCGACGGTCAATATTTCTCTGCAGTCGGAGATGGTTGATCCGCGTCTTCTGCACCCTCGGAGTTGTTGGCTGGTCTGCGTTGTCTGCACCCTTCACCAGTCGGTGGTCGCCGCCCGGCCTCCGCCAAGGTTGGTATTCGTCGGACGGCTAAATCAGTACCGTCGGCCGGCCGGCCCGCGGCGCCGCCTGCAGCCACCGCCAGTCGGTGTGCGGCGCGCCTCCGGACCGGCCGACCCATCGGCAACGACGGTGCACTGGGGTCGCGCGCGACGCGACGGCGACGATCGTGGGTACCCATCGCATCGATCCTGACGGACGGTGCATCCGGCAGGTAGAGTCAGCGGCAGTGACACGTGACCTTACCGGGGGCGTCTCGAGGTCGAGGGAAAAGCTCAGTGCCCCAGAAAGTCCTCTGAGACTGTCAGACTCCGGTGTTGGACAGTGGTCACTCTGGAGACTGGAGGCTTTGAGCATCAAGAAGCTAGTCGAAGAAACGGAAGGCTCTGTTTTACCGGATTACAAGAGATAAGTAGACTAAAGAGAACTTTCTGCTCCTTTTCTTGGTTTTTGAAGGTGGTGTATTGAATCGACTCTGCAGGTGATGGTCGAACAACATAGCATGTAACTTTGGTGACTGTGAGATACACTGGTCACCTAACATCTCCCCGACGAAAAGATTCTGCATCGACCCGAGATTCTGCACTACCAAAAGCAGCAAAGCTCGGGCTCTACCCGAGTTAATAGAGCTGGTGATCAGACCACGACCCACTGACCAGCTCAGGTCAGGCCAGGCTGAGTCAAACTGTGAAATCGTGTGGGACAGCAAAGTGAGGACCATGAGTCGTCTAGTCAAGTCACACAGTTTACGTAAGATCCTCGTCAGCTACAGCGAACCGCACTAGAACGGCTGGATACAGCCCACGCGTGAGCAGCAGGGACCAGTTCGAGGAAGCGGGGCTCGACCTTTGACAGTGACCTTTGACTTCGGATTGCCGCATCCAATCCCAATGGCCAACTGGACGTCGCCTCCAATTCGGTTTCTGGCAGGTATGTTGTAAACGATGCATCCCTAGAAAGGCCAGGGATGGAAAGGATATGTGTATTAGTTTTGTGGCATTATTTGTGCTAAGTCATAGGAATAAACGTCCACGAATTAAAGGTATCTGCCAACTTCCCGTGTTCAGCGTTCGGCGAATGAGAGGTTTCTTCTAATGTTCATTTCACCAACCGAGATCCAAGATCCAACATATAACCACTCCACCTCAATCAAACCACAACACAGGAAACGAATAGGGAGTGGTTCTGTTTTAATTCGCAAGCATAACAGTCCTTGGAATCGTAAACATTTCAGAACGATTCAGAGCCCAGCTACGCAAGCGGCTATCGGAGTATAGCGCTATTTTTGTTTCGAAGCATTAGCATCAAATATTAATTTCTTATCGACAGGTGGTTTGAACCTTGTACGTATATGTTTATCAACCTGGTCTGAGCATAAATAATGCTGCGAGGCGATGACCACTGGACGAAAGAAGGAAGCCATTAACGAGTGTTGTGGTTCGGGCGCTGAAACAACTAGCAAAACCAACAGCCATTAGTTAGACGGACGTCTTTTGAGATGATCCCAACACCAACATACAAGGATAGCCAAACGCAAAGTGCGCATGATTGATGCCATTTAGTTGAGTGTGGGAAGTAAAACTTAAACACGAAAATGCCAGAGAGAGAAAATGCCAACTGTGTAATGTGATATGCTTGTAATGTGATTGTGATTTGTCGGCGAATATTCTGGAAATGTTCTGAACTTCTTTTTTGCTGCGTATAACTTACATCAGCTCATTTAAAATCAACCACAATTATAATAAAAACACCTCGGCATTAAACCATTATCCCCATGAGATGGGGCGTAGTAAATACATGGCACAAGGATCCCTCACCCTGTCGACTCTGTCGAGGACAGCCTGGGTCGCGACTGGCCGATAGACAATCGCAAGTGTACCCGGAGCGACGTACCCCAGCTGTGAGGCGTCTGTGTACGCACGTGTGACTGTCACACAAACGATCACAGACAACCGGCGCTGCAGGATGGGAGCACATCTGATGACGACCGATTAGAGCGCCTCAGAGCGGCGACACGATGATTTATTGCTGACGTTATGTTTCGAGGGCACAGGTAGTGCGAGATAGGCCATGAGAAGATTGCCAGACTGAAGAAGCATGGTTTTAAAGAAGATATATAGGTATGGATCTTGTCTATCGCCTATCGTTTTATACGAAAACTTGTTTCAAATTGTGTTCAGAGCTGTAGTCTTCCAGCACGACTTAGCTATATAAAAGGAATGGCAAAATGCATTGAAACATTTAGTTGAATTCATTTAAAAGTGCTGGCCGTCCAATTTTGCCAGATCCTGGTTGGTTGAGAAATGTTGTTAACTATAGACCATGTTAGGCCTGCAACGCTGCGTGTTGACCAAGAATTCCTTGTGAAGCCTCATAGTTCGGGAAACGACCAACTATAGTCGGGATGTAATGGCATGGAAATCGTTACTTCCACCACACTGAAATGCTTTATTGACTTCCTCGACTCGCTCCCGCCGACATTGTGCCCCCCTCTCTCTCTCTCTCTCCCTCTCGCACAAACAAAAAGAAAAACAAAATACCAGCCGTAAATATATTTTCTATCCGTGAACTGTTTTATATAGTCAATAGCTAAAACTTCAATTTATTTTTTGAGCTTCAGTTACCATCAGTTTCTTCATCCAATGACCAAATACCATTATGATGTCACATAACACATGCCATCTCCATTGACTTCTCTCAACTTTCTATTCACTTCTTAGTTCTTACCCTACTCCGTCCCAAAACCAATTACTGCACTCTGCGGCAGAGTGTTTGCATGTCGTCTGTCGGGACGGTAGAGTGCACGGCACACCACTTGCTGCCCGGTTCCTGACACTACCATCAGTGGTAACCTTATACGGCCCTGCTCTGGTCTATCGGCCAGAGTCGATCTGCTGACGTGACAGACGTACGACAATTACGGGATGTGCGTGGCGCGTAGTGTTCCGGGAATGTGTCGCGTCGATCCGGCGTATTATGCGTCGAGTTTTTATCTGCAGATGCATACCCACGGGTGATGATATGGTGCTGTCTGCAGATATCAGACGTATGTATATGTATTACATACAAACTTTAATGACAGTTTATGACGTCGGAAATTCGAACATTGAAATTTCTAGTGGGTAGATGTTCTGTTTCCTTCATATCATGAATTGTCAAGGTGAAGTGATATAGAGGGAAAAATGTTAGGTGCTTTCTTTGCATGGCCCAGGCAACGCATTTCCACTCTGTCATCCTGTATTGCACTGCAATGACTGCACTGCTAGCGCTTAGCGGAGCCAGCTGGCCTGCGTTTCACAGTGCTGTTCATAGATGGCGCTATCATCAAGCGCCTGAAATCATACTGTGCCGCACGGCCCGCCTCGAACTACATATTCGTAATCTGAAATGCTAGCGCGCAGTGTGTGACTACTGGGTTTAGGGTCATTGGGTATCGGGGTTATGCATAATAGCGTGGTACTCACACCTTAGTTTAATTTAATCTTTAGTGATCGCCCTGTATTATGGTTCTCTTCGTTAGTCTCTGTAAGATCGACAATCGACATCTCATAAAGCATGCCTACACTACGATAGGATATGCCTATCGGCAATCGCTTCTTTCTGAAATTGGTTTTCGCATGTAAACAAGAACGATGCCAATTCCATCTTCCGCTTCTGACTAATCCTGGCGCGGGCAGCGCCTCTCTCCTCCGAACAGTGTCTGCTGTTTTTTCGCCCACTACTGCAGTCCTGAGACCTTTCCCTCGCGTCTGTTTCCGCCCACCAGCAGCATCCAACGACCCTTCCAACACCAACCCTCCCACCGACCCGACCGTGACCCACTGGCGACCACCGCCACTGACAGTTGGCCTGGCAGCGTCCCCTGAACAGACCGGGCCGCCTGCCTGCTAATGTGGCCAATAATAGCGACCGTGCCTCGCCTGAGGTGGCGTCACAACAGGCGCCGGCACCGCGGTGCCAGAAGTCGTGTTTTACACATGTTTTACCACGGTGTTACAGTTATTACACGTTGAAAGCTTACGTGAATAAGAGGAGAGGCTACTTGAATTCCCTCATCATTTTCCCTGGTGATTTGTGTGTTGATAACGGTCTAAACTGTTACCTATTCATTTTCATGTGAATCTGTGAATTTTTAACTGTTTTGGGAGATTGGTTTGCCAATTTGTGTCATACGCCTATCCTTATGCCTCTCAGACCTTATGTATAGCCTGCATTTGCCATGCTCTAACGTGAATGCTATTTTTCGGCAGTGATGCTGTTGATGGGGGCAACACATGCAGACGGAGGTTGCAAGGGTAAGTGGTGGCTCAAGCTCGGGCATTGAAACGTTCGAACTACTTCACGCATGCCTCATTGCTTTACTTTGTATCACAAACAAATCGGCAGGCTTTGAATAAGCGATACACTACATGAAATGATCGAATTTCAATTGAGAAATATGATTCTTTTGAACCTGTATTGAACGAAATCGTGTGTGCTCAGAATTTCGAACAAACGCGAACAGCTTTTCAGTAAACACATAGGATTAAGCTAAACTTTGCATTCATAATTATCAATGCTTTGGAAATGCCAGCGTATCGCATCGTGATAAAGATACAGGACACGTAAAGTAAAATTCGCTAGTAGACTGGGATACCAATACGCTTCTACCACACACATATACATTATACTTGGCTTTTAGCGGACCTTGCTATCGCTTCCCTTTAACGAATGCAGCAGCCAAAGCTGTGACGTCTTTGATACTTAGCATGTTATTTGCCTTACTTGCTTTAGCGCCTCACATTTGCATCTGCTTGAGCATTGCTCACACAATTTAGCAAACATTCCATGCCTTCAAGTCTAGATAAAATTCAACATTTTATTCGGCATTGATACACTCACCTCGTCAAGGTTATACACATTCACAGAAAAATAGCATAATTATTTGATAGACGTCCTTTTTATAGGCAAATAATTTCACACACCTTTCATGTGATGATTAGTTTGATATATAAAAAAAAAACAGGAAAACAAACTGCAGTTGATGCAATCTTATTGCAATGTTACAGGAGAGAATAACACGCAATTTTGAGACTGAAGAATATAGTTCGTTGCCTAAGTAATTAAGATGGGATCTGGTAACATAATAGTTTGATTAAAACTAACGAACACTTCGATTAAGTTTCTTAGCTACTATGTTTACGGAATAATCGTGTCACTGACTGAAACTAAACAATAATGCTCGTATGATGTGAAAAGATGTAAACGAGTCTTAAGCATAGATATCGTGCGATAATTAGATAAAATAAATAGAACAAAAACTTAGCTTTAATCTGCATTTCCTGAAGTGAATAGATCTAGCAAAGATTAGGAACATAGGCCTAGTTGTTTGTTTATCGTTGTGATGTCTCTGTTCTGATTTGTCATTGACTTTCCCGTGTCACGTGCTGTTTCCCTCACCACAAACCAATGCGCTCGCTCGCGCGGCGCCGGACGCTGACCGATCTGTTGCGTCTCCCTCACACCTCGGCCGTAAGTAACACGTGCCACGTGCTGCTGTCTCGTCGGGCTCTCCGCTTTCCTCTGACTCTGTCAGTATGTCTGTGTGTAGCTGCCACTGACGTATCACGCTGCACAAATGTACTATAGTCAAACTAAATGGTGATAGAAACGTGATGGGTAAATGTTATTCAGTAGAATGGAGACACTGTGCGGTTGTCAAAGTAGTGGGCTTTGGTGAACGTGATCAAAGCCAGCACGCCTATTTAATAACGATTTCTTAATTTGACATTACAAAGCTCGAGTAAAAGGGCAAACTAATCGAACGCTTTTAGCAGCTTCTAGATATGACAGTGGCACACGTGTAGCTGATAGGGCTTCGTTGTCTGTGAGTCGGTGTTTTTATTTTTATCCTCGGGAATGCCTATACATCGTGGTTCGTAAATGCTGTCAATTAACTACGTTCACATTGCACGTTTCTAAAATGTTTTAAATGTGAATGTCTCATGCGTCTCTTGCGAGCATAGTAAATAATAGTATGTTAGAAACGAATCACCTTAAAACACCAAATTGAAACGCTTTTTATTGGATTTGGAGTGAATTCTTTGTTAAACGACACCTCGAGAAACACGCCCGTTAACCTGTCTGCTGGGACACACAGACACACAGACAGAGGCGAGGTATTGACCGTGAGCTGTTATCGCCGGTTGCCAGGCTCACACGAGCCGTCGGCAGCCGAACCCTAGCCGAAGTGTACCGCGCACGGCCAAAGGGCACGACACCGTCAATTCACAGGGCAGGGGCGCGCGCGAAGATCGTAGATTCACAGCCCTAGCGCTTGACATCGAATAGGAGAAATGTGATAAATGTACTTAGCGAATAAACCAAATTCTGTCGGTTTTGTTTAAAGTCTCAGATAACTAATGTAGCAGAATGACTTCAAAACAAATTCATAGCAATTTATAGGGTTTGTAAAATGTGCAGCGAATACCTGCAACCACATGATGTAGCTGGAACTGATTTTTCCTTTTGAATTAAAAAGTGATATATTCTAAGTATTGATAATACTTAGCAGCGTGTATGGCTTTGCTGTTATCAAAGGTAAAAACTGTTATAAACGGTCAAAACATTGCATTATCTGTGTTTAATTTCTTTTGCAGGACAAGGTGTTTATTGTGGAGCTGGCGTAGTTAATAGTGTGTTACCTGAGGAGGATATAACATATTGCCAAATATAATGTGTGTTTCAGTATAGTAGCCCTATTACTGATATCTTAGCGTCACAAACTTTGGCATATGAACATAACTGAAGTTTTGGAGAAAAGGGGCATAGCTCTATCAACTTCAATTAACTTTTGGCATACGAACGTAAGTTGAAGCTTAGACTTTAGAAGTATTAAAGTTTTTTTTTTGCATTTATGTGATTCCATCAGTACCTATAACCTATAACTATTCATGTTAAATCGCAAGAAAAAATGAGAAAATAAAAAGCAAAGATGAACAATGGTCAGCGGCCGCCCTCATGCTATATAACATGTTCTAGACTGGTTCAGCATGTTGTGAGTACTTTTGATGCATTTTCTTGAACGTCATGCAAGGGACCTGGAATGAAGCACGAATGCGAACTCTGGCTGCTGACTTCTCGCACTGTACTTGAAATTTATCGTTCTGCATGGTATATCCAAGTGGTCGCAGATTGTTGATTTGATGACGCTGAATAGGTGTACTCCCCAAGCATGTCAAAATGTCTGTTCATCGGAAAATGGTCTATCGTTGTCTGAAGGTGAACATGTGTATATGACACTAAAATTAGAAGGATAATTTTTAAGACATCGTAAACGTTTATAGTGTCATTTTAACTGCTCCTCAAGTCTCTGACCAGGGTAAAACAACGTGTCAATGCCATTGCCTTATGTCAAAAATATAACAACGTTGATGTCTTGATCCTTTGAAATAGGTGACTCGAGGTAAGTATGAATCGCCTTAGGTGTAGTTTTCCTGATGATCAATCGCATGTCCACGTAAAACGTTTTTTTATTAAAAGTTTTCAAATTCATATTCCAACAAACATTACAATGTAAGCTACACATGCAGTGCCTAAAATATTTTCTGCGTTCATGCGTACCATTAAAACATTATATCGCCTTTTTTGCCTATAGTTTGAGCTCAAAGCCCTTAGGAACTGAAGCATGAATTCGGAAGCTGACCTAGCGACGAGGGTCCTTCATCCATTCAGATTAAGCATCCCTGACAGCCTCATCATTTGCAGTAACGACCTCATCATCGGCGGCTCTGATGCGCCGATCAGAGCTCTACTTTGATCGCCACTAATACCGTGGTCAGCCAACCACGGCCTCCGGAATTGGCCGCAAGTTTCCCTGGTCACCGCAATATTCCCGTCCTCAAGATGGCTGACGCAGCCGTCACCAGATCCGGGGTGTCGCATGCCATTGGACGCCCGTCTTAGCAGCTGACCAATCAGCGATGGACGTGTACACTGACCGGCCTTGACCTCTGTCTGCAGATGAAGTGCTGCATTGCTATTCGTGCAATAGCATCGACGACAGTCGGTGCATGAGCCCGTTCAACTACACTGACCGGCCACCGACAGCGCCATGCAAGGGCTGGTGCGTCAAAATCGTCGAAAATATCGACACAGGTCAGTATACCTATAAAGGAAAATAAGGTTAGGGTCAAGGTTTAGAATAGTCAATAGTCAGCAAAAGAATAGGCCTTAATACAAGCAGTAGCAGTGACACTATATAATACTACAGGTAAAAGTTTCGTGATCTCAGGCGGGCACATGTCTATTTTTATAGACGGTTAATTTTCAGTTATATACTTAGGCGTAGCGGGTATCAACGCTAGTATTTAAATGCTTATGATATATAATAGGAATAGAAAATAAAGCCAGCAACCCTCTGCACTATACATAGATCCATGCAGACCGACGAAGAGGAAAAGTACACTCTGAGGCAATATATAATTACCGCCCGACATTCCATCAATTGATAACCCATATATCGATCTGCCGGGCAGAGTGATGGCGCCACTGTTGGTCTGCATGCGGCATGAGCCCCGCCAGTGCAGGTCCCTGTGCCCCCGCCCCCGGGTCTCAGGCCCTGTGTATACCTATATAACCGTGCAGTGCGCCGCTCCTGGAGCGCGCGCAGCCCGCCCTAACTCTCTGGTGCGCTTCAGTCGGCATGTGCGGTAGCCGATGTGTAGACCTGAGTCATGCATCCCCAGTGCCAAACAGTACCGAACTGTGTCTCTAGAGACACCATGACATGTCTTGCTGCGTGAACGCTGAGCCCACGCTCCCCCGGGGCTGTCTTACCGTCTCGGGTGCGTCGAGTTTTATTCTCTCAGTTCCCGGACGAAATGCAATAAGCTGTAAAGTGACGGGGCGCTCCTCTGGAAAGAAATGTGGTGCTTCGGCTAAGTTATGAGACTGTCTTCGTCTGAATCTATTCCATTTACGAGCGAGCGGAGAGTACCGCGCCGCAGTCTGAGTTTATTTGCAAAGTATTCAATAGCAGAAAGCACTCATGAGGCAGATTAGCATCAAATCGGTCGATCACATTCCATCAGCTTTTGATTTCAAGATTGCCGGCTGTGCATCATTGCACTACTTTTAGTGCTTTAAAAAAAACCAAAATATGTCTTATGCTTATGCAAATTTTTTACTCAATTTAAAGCGTTAGAAATTAAAGCATTTGCTTTCACGGAACGGTCGATGTTAATGTAAGTGAAATCGATAAGGTTGTCTCCTTCACGACCGAAAACGCTATTAATAATAAAACAATCAATTTATGCAGGAGTTTAGGAGCGCTGCCCAGAATTCTCATTTCCAAATTAAATGTAAATGTATTCTGTTGGTGAGTGGCGCGGCGCCATCAGACGGTCCCGGGGAGCGCCGGGCTCGGCGTCTCTGATCTGTATGCCTGAGGGCAGCCGCAGGCATCCAGTGCGAATGAATGCCGCCTGTACTTTCAGAGTATGAAAAGGTCGTCCGGACGTGTACGGATAGGATGCACATCAATCCGTTCATAGTGGGCAACGTGTGTATGGAAGAAAGCAGCGGACACGGATCACTGTGCTTCTGCAAAAAGAACCGATGTAACAAATCCGCGACCGTCCGCCTTTCCACCTCCCTCCTGCTGGCCGCTGGCCTGGCCCGGCTGCTCGTAACGTAGTGGGCCGGCGCCGGCTGACGGGGCGTCCTGTGGACGGCGGCCCGCCAGAGGCCCCGCTCGCCTCTAGGCCCAGCGTTGGCGCCCGCAGGCCGGCACAGCCCCTGTATAGCTGTGGTGTAGCCACGTAGCCAACTCAGCTACGTGTCAACTGATGCTGTGAAGCATTCAATTGAGTGAGCTGTACATAGACATTATTAATATCCCTGTCCAAGGTAGCATTATGCTAGCCTGGATGGTTTTTGATACACAAAGATACTGTTGCGACTTCTTCGAGTCCTATTCGCGCCGTCTTAGGGCGTTGATGTTTTCTCAGTCCAATTTACTAGTTAGGATTTGCCCGCGAGGGCGTCAGCGCCCATGGCACCTGTGCGCACCATCCTGTGCCTGAAGGTGGGCCAGTTTTCACCATCACACCTCACTCGGTGTCAGCTCTCTCTTCTGCCGGCTTTCTGTCTCTATCCAGTGTGAGGCAAGCTTTTTATGTGGGCTGCTCGGACGCCAGCTTCTCCCAGTCCTGGGTCCCGTTCTTCCCGTCCTAACGTTCTGCGGTGGCACTACGCACGCCGATGCGAAGCATCTGGCTAGCCAGTCCTTTCATGTCAGTCACGCTGGAAAAGTGACGCTCTGAAGTGCCGTGAACGCGAGGCGTTCGGGCCACCGCCTTCCACCACTGAGGCCGGGCCATGATGCCCCCAGGCATCGCCCGCGGGCCCGTCCCAGGCTGCCTCAGCTCGGCCTGGCGACAGACACAATCAATGGGGCACTGCGTGATCGCGTGCTGAAAAATGGCAACAGCGTGGAGATGACTTTCAGAACTATTTTCTTGAACCCACAGTTAAAGTGATAGAATAGCTAGTCGTACTGGAATGGAATGATGCACAGCACCATTCCTAATGTTTTTTTTTCTTCAGAATATGTTGTCAAATAGTTCTGAGGGGACGTTCAAGGAAAGTCATGTTTACAGTTAGTGCCATACAGCACGTCTAACGCTTAGAGCGACTGAACTAAACGCAAACTCGTATTTCTGGCACTAAACCGGATCTTGCCCGAGATCGGCATTGTGCACAGCTTCAGCACGGCATTTCAATGTGCAAATGGAAGAGTCGGAACGCGCGCGCTTTCCGTGGCCTTTCGGACTCCCTCCTTGGCGCACTGTGTGGTCCATGTTAGGCTGCTGCTCAGGTCTTTCTCTGCGCGCGGAGCCTGTTGGGTGCTGTGGGGTGCGGTCTGCGCTCGGTTCGGCCGGCCCCGCCGGGTGCAGTGGCCGCCGCCAGCCGAGCTGGTGCCGCCTGGAAGGGGCGCGCGCGGCGGCCCGGCCGGGCCCGGTCGCGCCGGTCCTCCTTCAAAGGCTGAGGGTCGGCGCGCGCGGACCCAACAGCGGCTCTGGCTCGCTGCTTTTCGTGCATCCGATGCCCACTAGTGTACTGGCGTTGAAGTGAATCACACAGGGCTTACCGAGGGGCGTTCGCCGGTGGCTGAGCTCGTGCTGAGCCGCCGGCGGACCTCCCGCCGCCTGGTGACCTGAAACTGTGTAGCGCTCGTCTGTCACTCTCTCTATCTATCTGCTCTATACTACTCCGTCTCTGTTGTAACTCGCTTTCTGTCTGTGTACTTGGTTCTGTTTCTCCGGAGGGCTTGTGTCTAGAGCGAACCGTCCTACCCTGCATGAGCCCTGTAATCACCCGCCACACGCTCTACTGAGTGAGCTGCAGCTTTTCGCTTATCTGTCTCTCTTCTCTAGCTCGTCTCTTTCTCTAGCTCTCTTTCTGCGTAGCAATTCTTCCTACGTCTGGCATTGTAAGAGCATGCGTATTACACCCTAGGTTGGTGATGTAACCGATTGAGAGAACATGTTTGTACGTATTCTTATCGTTTCGTATGTCGTTCGTTACGTCCTGTTTCCCTAAGGCTACTTGTTCCCCGTTATGAAACGTCTTGAACCTGTTAGCGCCTTTCATTCCATATGAATGCTTGTTGTTAGGAAAGTGAATATGACTGAAGCTGATTCTAAATTGACACGGATTAATTTTAGTAATGACATAAACATCGGCTGTCGACCGTTCGGAACATTAAATTATACGCTCGGCAATATGACCAGAGAATTAGCAACATGAGGAAAGCTACTGAAAAAGAATAGTTTTACACGAAAATGATAGGTTAACGAATATGAAAGGTTTATTTTGTAAGAACGGTATTCGAAAACAACTAATCCGGATCATTGGCAACGTTGGAAAAATGTTCAGAAATTTCCGGAAACGTAACACTTTTTAAAACAGACACCAATCATAAATCTTCATTAATATTTGTTCCACTCAAAATTGTTAGGCCGATGTGGATTAGCGAAACACAGGCGTGCGCGACGCTCATGCCCTGAATTATCTATCGTCTATAATGGACAATCGCACTAGTCTTTATCCTCCTCACTGTAGACGTAACATTTTACAATCCAATCTCATATGCCTTCCTATATGATAGACACTTGCCACTGTGTCATGACGATCATTGTGGCTATCTTTTATTATCGAGTAATGTCCTTCCACCAGGGCTATAGCGGGTTAGCTTCCTCATGCATTGTATTTACCTGTTAATGTATTTTATCGCGTCTGCAGTATCGGGCTAGGGCTTGTTGCCACTGGCTGATCCTGCTCGCCTGACCGCCTTTTTCTGAAGCGGCCTCTGTCTCACTGTTCCTCACCAACCGAAATAAGTTGAGCTCATTTTGTTTTGCGACGGCCCATCGTGGTGCCTATATCGCGGCGTTCTGTTCATCTGATTTTACAGGGGCGTAGTTTCACAACGATATTGGGGAGATTTCGTTTTGGGAAAGGAAACTTATCGTTTCAGCTTTATTGAATATAGTTATTACTGATATTAGACACACATATTCCCATTTCTCACCATTTCTCATAGAGCGGAGGCACCCCAAAATCGGGTGTTGAAGCCACACCCCTGTCGCCGGTTTGGGGAGGTGCCGTCACTGTTCTGCGCTGCGCTGCCTGGCTGTCCAGCTGCGCTGCCGCCTTGGTTGCCAGCTTGTGCACCGGCACGCTCAGCAGCCGAGCCGCACTCGCATACCTACATTTAGGTGTCGAGTCGGGGCACTCCCGGGCCCGGCCAGTATCTTGTTCAGCTCGCGTGATATACTGTAATTTTGTAAGCCTTGATGTGATAATGCGTATATCATCGTTGGCTTGTGACAAAAGGTGAATGTTAGGGAGTGGCTCAAGGTGCAATATAAGTCGACTGCCTATGACCTGAATGCCTGTTGTGTTTACGTTGTGAATATGCGCCACCCGGCACCTCTTTACCGGCAGGAGGCTCGACAAACATCGATAGTTTCGTCCCAGGAGGGTGGGAGCCACAGGCTTTGAGCATTAATCAGGGGGTATTACCTTACACAAACAGCTTTATTACCTTTCAAACAGCTAGAATCTCAAAATTTCTATTTGTTGTTGGGTATATGGAGATGATAAAATATTTCCAAACTGCTAACCGTTTTGGCCAGTATAGCGTTTATGGATAGCAATGAATTAACTGACAGATAACGTACTGATGAACACATTTTCTTTTAATGCACAATGCACATCTAGGCTAACTATCCTCAAAAATAATCTGGAAGTAATCTAAAATGGTTTCAACCATCAATAAGAGATAGGAACGTCGAAGACAATTCACATTCTTTCATCATAGCACAGCGTAATAAAATGCCTTCTTACGGCACCTTATTCACATCGCTATTGCTAAGCTGGAGATCCACTAAAGCATGTCCATTGTGAAGCTTCATAATTGCACAGCGGACCGCAACATGCACTTTTGATCAGACAAAGAGAAGCTTATCCTCATCCCTGCTAATGGCTTAATGACGCGCTAATTAGAGCACGTTTTTGTTTGCGATCTAATACACTCGCGACGAAGCGTCTTTTCGTCCTCACTTTGGCTGAGATCAAAAGCTCTTGGCAAATATTCATTTGGCTGAAGCTGTTGCCCATCCCTCTAAGAGCTACCGACGCATCCCCGTGGGAGGTCGTGGGAGGGGGGGGGGGCGTCTTATGGATACCGTCCTGGGCTTCTGACACCGCCTGTAGAGACATGGGAATCATGGGTAGCGGGGTGGGAGAAGTGACTCTGCCCAACAGGAACAACAATGTCCCACATTCTACGAGAAACCGGTGCAGTCCCGGGGCCAGAGGAACGGCGCCTCGAGACTTCAAGGAGATCGGGTCCCCGAGGGACCGGTCCGGTCTCTGGTCCGGACCTCTCGGGCTCGGCTCGAGTCTCGGTCCCCGGACCACGGACGGAGCAGACTCCGATCGAAGGCTCCACGAGACCAGCTATCATTGGAACAGCTCCAGCCTCCTGAACCATCGGAAGTCCACTGAGGACTCAGGTCTGGAACAGCATTGATGTGCTTTGAATAAAGAAGGTGCTATCGTGATGTTTGTCTGTGTACCGTTAACACGTGATTGTCGTATTGTGTACTGTCATTCGTGCTAATGTACAGGGTGTTCGCGAAAATATGTCATGATTTCGTTTCGCCATTATCGCCAGCTCAAATAAGCTATGTTCAAATGTCTTGCTGAAGTGTGTTGCCCGGATCTTCAAGTTTTGTTACAGACATGTTTCAGTGCCTAATGTCGAACCGGGCGCACCTCGCACGCTGTTTTCTATATGACCCCCTTTTCGGCGGATGCATGTGTCACCTAGAAATTTCACATAACGGTTCATTCGCACGCACGTGTTAGAAGTGATAACACGGACGGCCTTTGGAATCACTATCATCAGCTGAGACAGATTCTTGGCCGTCTTCCTGTAGGCCCCGGACTTCAGATATCACACAGGTAAAGGTCGAGGGGGGTGACAACAAGTGAGAGGGCCGACCAGGGGGTAGGGGTCCTCCTGCTCAAGAAACGGGCCCTAGCATTTTGTTTAGGCACCGGAGTGCAATTTTCGAAGTGTGGACTTGAGCCCATCCTACCTGTGGGCATGTCTGCAGCGTTTCGACCACTGTCCAGCCCCGAGCTACCCCACATTTCTCGCTAAAACTTCTAGAGCACTCCCATGCAGCAGTTTTCAGCGACAGTGGTGTTGTTTCAATTTGAAGTCTTAGGAAGAAGGCCTCACGACACCATGAGCGTCTATCGCAAATCAAGCAATGACCTTCGGACTGTGGAGCTGGTGTTCTTATTTAACCTTTGAGGGTGGCCCATCCACCCAAACCGTTTGTTCTGGCCGTCGGCACCTTCATGAAGGTGAATGTGTGCTTCACTGGTTAACCGGGCATGGCTTGTGAACGGTGCTCAGAATTGATTTTGGTTTTTTATCCTCGAAGGCCAAAGTAGAGCCTTAGCCCTTTTCTACCCCAGACAGCACCTACTGTTTCTTGGCCTTGTAGGGGATAATCCCCATGTCATCATCAATAATATAATGAGACATGTAGGACCGCAACCCGCATCTTGCGCGAGCTCGCCGATGGTCCTGGATAGCAACTTGTTGAACAAATGGGTGATCTGTTTTATCGTTTAAATGACTATAAATATTTTTCTTCTCATACTTTCTAGGATTCATTTGATTTTTAACGATCACTTCGGTAGTAAGTTGCATGTGCAGTAAAAAATCGCCTTGCAAGGGGTGCAGCGGACGCATCAAAGCATGCACCGAACTGTTGTCGCACGGAAACAACGGACATCGACTCCAAGTGCTTTTTGGTGATATTTGTTTTTCGCTCTGTAGAAGGCAGGGTTTTTAACATTATCAATTAAAATGCATATGAAACAAAACTTGAAAATGTGCTCCTTCAAATGAGCATAAATACATACACGTGCGTTTAAGCAATTTTTCCTACAAAGCAATTAAAATCATGACATATTTTCGCGAACACCCTGTATAGTGATTCATAGAATCGATCGCCGGATACTTAAAAAAATCACAAAAAATTGTAAACTGTGTCACGTTCGATGAATTTAATCGTACAAATTATAAGTGCCGATATTTTTCCTTTCGATACTAATGCAATTTACTACGGTTTTCCTACTCATCAAGAAAGTGACCATGGAAATTGGAAACCATCGTATAGTGTCATTTTGAGAAGTTATTTTTCACATCATTTACTCTCCTAACCGTTTGCCTCGCAGAAAAGTCTGCATTCACTCTCCAAGTTCGGGCGATGGCAGTCGCCCATCAGTTCGGAGCCGCAACGACAGAGAGAGTGCTTGAAGGGAGAGAGCAGCGAGTCAGCGCTCTCTCCTCTCCACCGGAGCTGCATCTGACGTGACCGACCGACCGCCACGCCCACTCACAAGACCACGCCCACTCCAATTGGCCGGCGCTGGTGGCGGTCTCCCGTTCGCTCCTGCTCTCGTCTCTACGCCGCCCGTCGGGCTCTCTCCTACGGCAGTCGCTCAACGCCTGATGGAGTGGGTGAGCGTCTGCCGCGTGGGGAGGGGAGGGGACGGGGGGGGGCTTGGATATGGGCCAAGAAGTCGTGTAGTCCACAATGCCCGCCGTCTGGCTAGTGAAGGCCATGTGATGGGCGGATGAGCTACCTTCTGGGTATCCCATGGAAGCAGCAGGAATATGGGCTGGCAACGGGAGGATGAGTTTCAAGGAGAAAATAATAGATATCAACAATGTATTCATTATTATATTTTAAATTATCTGCCTTCGTTTTGTTTTTTCTATTTCATAGTAGTGAGTTAAAATCATTCTACTGCATCTTTTAAGGCACGATACAAAGTTTGTCCATACTCTGAAACAGCTTCTAGATAAACGTTATATTAAAATTATATTATTAAGGCAACACATTGCACATGCACATTGCACAATGCACATAGTGCACAAACATTTATGAATGTTTCGAACACAAAGCTGCACAGCTCGCATATTTCTCTGTAACTTATTTATTTTTGTCTAACTTATCTCATTCAAGTAACAATAATACAAAATACTCGTAGACTTTATTTGGGATCGGAAGAGCGTGTTAAGCCCGGTTCCGACTACGGTCACTTCAGGCCCAATCAGGCCAGATCAGGCCCAATAATTCCCAAAAAGGCTGGAAAAGGCTTACGGCCTGACGGCATGCTAGTGCGAACCGGAGCAACTGATCCGGCCTGAACTGGCCTGATCAGACCTTCAGGCCAGATCAGAGCCCTGTTCGGGTCCGCGCAAAATATTTTGCTGAGTGTGAAGTCACACATGCGATGATGTCAGCCGCCTGGCTCCGCCCATGCTCCGCCCCCTCTCCGCCGGTTCGCAAAGCCGAGGGCCACGCGACACGCGGCGAACCGTGGCGCGGATGGACTGGTGTGTTTCGTTCAGTTACTAAGTAAAATGCGTTCAAATGTGGTTAATAGCAATGTGCCACTGAAAAGAAAGACAATGATACCAAAACAACACCATACTAACCACTTACAATAAGAAATCTATGAGGGTAAACTTTAATCCGCGCCACTTTCGCCTCCTGCAGCTACTATTTTCTTCTTGCGCAAAACTGAAAGATTTTGCGCGAGCCTACGTCACACGTGTGACGTCATACGCCGAAGGGCGGAGCTTGGCACCCGACAGACCCCAACTGCGCATGCGTGGTGCAAAATTTTGCAATAGGATGCGCTGCCCGAACAGGGCTCAGGCCGAAGTTAACTTCAAGTCAACTTTTTGCGCCTGATCCGGCCTGATCTGGCCTGACGCTGCGCCCGCCATTTTGAATTTGCATTGGCGCATTTGCGACGTGACAATGCGTGGTATTCGAAATCGTGCCCTTTTTGACACTGCAATATAAAAGTGCCTATTTATATAAATGCACATAAAAAAACAGACCCAGTATGAATTAGGCACGAGACGTTGCGCATGGTTCTTTTTTATTTGATTTTTATTGTGGCCTAATTTGTGTCATTTCGGGCTTTGAAGGATGAATAACTCCCATGGTTGCTACTGATTGCTGTTTTGTTTAAATTAATTATGAACGTTTGTTTCGACAAGTCCAACATTATTTCAACCAAATTAGCGTTTCTTTTAAAATTGATTCCAAAAAATAATGTGCTACTCATCAATATCGTAGCAAGATAACCATTCAAGCTTACGAGAAATAAATCGGGCTATGGTGGAAGATCCAGGTTCAAGACAGCCTTTACAGCCGCCTGACCTGTCGCGCATAAGAAATCCAGCTCGTCCACCTTCCCCGTCTGAGCTCCCGGGCCGGGAGGCCTAGCTTAGAACAGTAACGGATGGCTGCGCCTGATATGAGCCGCTCCAGCAAACACCAGGGAGGGATGAAAGTAAACTTTTGGAAAGTTTGCTCGAGAAGGACACTCGCTCTCGGTCGCCCTCGATGCCACGAACCTCTGCCGAGCTGTTGCGGTGTCTTCTGCGGCAACTAAACTCATCGTCGCCGGCACCGAACAGGCTCCCGCTACCTCTCCTAGATCCCGTGACTCTCTGTCATGACTCGGACTGAATGGAACCAATCGCTACTCCATTCGCCCCCCTGGACCCCACGGCACAAAAGGACCTTTCCTATATCGAATGGCAGCTTGGCCGGGGAGACTCATTTCCAGACCAAAGAAATTTGACGGGAAGACAAGAAACTAAACTCTTAAGTCGACATGTTCCATGTGCAAGATAAATTTGTGGCGGGAAACCACAGCGGGTACCTATGTGTGAGCAAAAAAGCAAACCTTGTTTAGGTCAAGCTAATCGAGACCCTACATGATGACATGAAAAGTGTCATAAACAACGGGCTCTTATTTCTCGGAGTTGAGTTGCGTCAATGCTTATATCTTTGTTAGTGTGGTAATTGTCTGCAAAGCACATAAGAACCTACAACATAAGAACATGCATGTCTTTTCTGTTTTCTTTTAGCCTCTTCTTAGATTTTCGATAAAAATCATGTTTTTATTACTTAAAACCACATTAAAACATGTTACGCAGTATGATTAAGATTATCGGTTTCAGGTTTTCATTATATAGAGCGATTATACCAGTAAAACGTCTTTGGAGCTGACAAACGGGCGAGCACGAGAGTTGAGCTCATCAAACGAGGAAGTGCGAAACAATACCTACCTATTCCAACTGACTTGTGCGGGACACGCTTCTAACCAGTCCGTAACAGTGTACTTTAAATTTGAGCGCAATCGGACCACCCGTTCTCGAGATGTAGAAGCAGCAGTCTGCACGTGCGCACGTGCATACTGGACCCCAACCAAGACCCCAACTGACTTGTGTGGGACACCCTTCTAGTCGATCTCTAACGGTGTACCAAATTTGAGAGCAATCGGCCCAGCCGTTCTTGAGATGTGGAAGCGGTCCACGTGCGCACGTGCAGTAGGACCCCAAATGTGAAACGTTGAAATGCATTGTCCGGTGGACGCCTACCGACATATGAAGCTCCAGCGCAATCGGCCCAGCATTTACCTAGTTGTTGTAATGAGAGCGAATTTGACACCTCTTCATTTTGCACGTGGCACGTGCAGGGGAAGGGGCAACAAACATGCATCGAGAGTACATAGTCTGGTATGGGAAGAAGATACCAAAAAAGACTATGGGTCGATCGCCACAGATTTGGCTGAGATATGAGCCTATCAAAATCGTTACTTTGACCGAGCGAAACAACTATGAAACCCTTGACTTCACACGTGCCACGACAGTCACCTCGATGCATCATGAGTAGTCAATTTCGAGCTGGAAGGGATGGGGATGAGGCTATACCGAACAAAAAAAAGACCATAGGTCAATCGGCCCAGCGGCTGCTGAGATAAAAGCCTCGCATAAGCGTTACGAGCTGCGCCAAACCGCGCCGGGCTGCTCATGCTCAGACTTGTAAGCTATTTAGAAAATCGCAATTCGCTCTCGCTGGTAAAAAAAAAAACACGCACACATTTAAAAGATATTTGGTGAGGCAGACCGACGGCCTGACGCCTGTCGCCTGACGTCTGGCGTCTGGCGTCCCATACGGTCTGATCAGGCCGAGCGTCCGACGTTCAACTTTGGCCTGAACGCCTGATTGGGCCTGATCTGGCCTGATCTGGCCTGATGTGGCCTGATGTGGCCTGAAGCAACCTCATAGTCGGAACCGGGCTTTACTGTTGCGATACTGCACATACCTTTTGTCGAATGCATGAGACGAAAAGGCAGCGCTGAACACACTAATCGGTCACTCATCGTGTGTGGGCAGCCTGCTTGTGAATACGGCACTGGCCACGGCTCATCTGTCATTGCCGATCGGTGCGCGTTATTGCGCAACGCCGCCCATTATCCCGTGTTCGCCTGGCCGTGCGGCACAGCATAGCTTCAGGCGTCCACTACTAGCGCCATCTAGTGATACGGATGTGAACTAATACGACCGATGGGCTGGCAAGCGCCGTGGCTCCAATTTTCATCGCTTTTTATCTTGAAAGCCAAACGAAATGTTTAGCTCAGTCTTTCATGAGATCGAAAAACTCAGAAAACATGTTAATTGTTCATTGTCATACCTATAATAAATAATCAGCCAGTTTAGTCCTATGATGCCTGCATCTGATCACGTTCTCGTTTCCGCAGTATTTCTTCGGTCGAGCAGTCGGCAGAGCTGACCAGGCTTGGCAGTATCCCGTCGGTGGCTGGTGAGAGGGAATCTCACCGACAACGCCCTGTGCTGAGGAAGTCGGTCGTCTTCAGAAACCGTCCACATCAGAGGAGGCAGCTGCTTCAGCGATGACATCAATGAATCACAGAGCGAGCAGACGTGGCACTGATGTCAGGTGCTGAGCTCTGTCATCATTCTTATCGCTTAAAGACATTCAATCTCATTTCAAGCGGCTCGACCAGCGGAGCGTTTTGCAACTGGTGGACTGAAATCGTGGTATAAGTGTATTGGTATTACGTTGTAAAATACACGTTTCGGTGCTCACAAAGAACGATGCAATGCAGTGCAAGCCCGTTGTTAGAAAGATGGAATCAGCTACAAGATATGGTAAAAGATGATATTAACCCACGGTACTGGCTTCAAAGTTTGTGAAACTAAGAAACCGTTTAATGCGGTATATGGATCACATAATGTGCATTAGCAAGTTAATGTTTCATTACCGTGTATAATTTTGGGTCAAAACTTTGTTACCACCGATAGGTTACTGTTGTGTCTAGGCTGCAGATTCGTAGGCTGACGTATTTGCCCGGGACCGTGCGAATGTCATTTGGTGATGTGGTGCCCAAAGCACTGCTAGCCGGTACACGAATAATTCACACCAGCCCGTACCAAGCTGCCAATGTGAACAGTAATTCTGCTCTTATTGACTGCGTGGGAGCTGCCGCATAAGTTGGATTTGCTTATTTTTCTTCGTGCTGGACTTGTTGACTCCTTTTCGCAGTGACTTTTCGGTAAAATAATGTATGACGGCGCATTGTATCTGTAGTCTGTACACTGGTGTTGTGTGTGGCTAAGCTCTATAAACGGTACCTGTATTTGTATTTTGAATTGCATTTCGTGAAGGACATGACAGCTCTAAGTCCATGCAACCGTGGCTCTAGCTAAGGATCAAAGGAGGGGCCAGGGCCCATCCACCGCAATAGGCTTGATGTTAAAACGGGGTCTTCAAGGGGTCCACATGCTTCCCTGATGGCCAGTGAATGTGAGCTAGCTCGTAGCGTTGTTTCTTGTTTTAGCGTCGGTCTACAAGCATCCATACTACCGTACTTGACCATGGATAGTTATTACCAAAAGTAAAGCTTCGATAGCAGCTGTACTAGTAAAGTACTTACCTACCGATACCTTGCGGTCTCCAACCGAGCTTCAAACTGATAGTTAATCTTACACTTGCTGGCAATATATGCCCAACTTTCAATGCTAAAGTATCAGTGGGCGCCCCATCGCTCGGGTCACCTGCCCTACCGCTAGTCATGACCCGCCCAGTGACCCACAAGCGTGTCGAGTGTCGACTGTGAGTGAGGATCGACTGTGAGTGGGTGTCAACTGTGACACCCAGTGAGGATCGAATGTGCCGCGATTGAGCGCGTCTCGGCGTGACACCAACACGGTACTAGTCTAGACAATTCGTCAGTATATTGACTGTTATCGGCTGAAGTGTAACTTGTCCAGCTTGATGCCAAATACAAAATTGACGAAACGTCTTTTGTGTGTCTTTTGTGATAGGGTGCATTATGCAGTATGCACTGTCAAATACTGACAATCAGATACACCTTGAGCTTACAGATCAGGCGAGGTACATCATACACTGCTAGATCTGATGCGTCTTATAAGTATTGCCAGATAGGGTACCTACCTACATCATGTGCTGACATCGGGTGCAACATGCGCGGACATCGGGTACACTATGCACAAGGGGTTAGGTCAGTGCTGGTGCCGCCCCACTGCGCTGACACTGCTGCCATAAGAACATAGGGTAGACGGCTCTGTAGATGTCGCTGCGGGACCGGGACCTGTGCTGTGTATTTAAAGCGGGCCAAGGACGGCAGCCCATATAGGTGTGGAAACCACTGAAAATCACGTCTATAAAACGCACTTTTCCTTCTTAGCAAAGTGAACTACAAAAACAAATAACATTTTAGTAGTGCACAAGTCATGAACTAAAAAAATCTGCTACCGACAGCGAAAAATTGTTATCACTATCAGGTTTAGAATAGGCGGCATCAAGGGCGGCATCAAACTATTCAGAAGTGCATACTCGCCTAATGAATTAATTTTGGCTGTCGACCATAGAAAGTTGACGTGGAATTTGGGAGGCTCACTTTAAAATTTGACCTCAGGTCAGACCATGGGCGTAGGAACGGCTGGAACATTGTGGGTGCATGGGTGCAGAAATCCAGCCATGGCCGGTGAAGCGGGGGGGGGGGGGGGGGGCGACACCCGAGGGTCAGACTCATGAGTCATGAGTTTTAATGACATGACCGAAAACGGCTGAGGTCATGTTACTTATCAGTCGATCGGTAGGTATATATGTAGGGCTGAACGGTGAACACATCCACAGTGTTTTCCATTTCATCGCTTTGGCACGTCTTCATCAATATATTTGTCCATGAAACTGCTGGCGACCCTTCGTGACCTACCATGACCTTGAAGTGACACTAGCTGACCAGCAAGTGCACCGGACCACACCCATTGCATAATGGTAGAAATGTTACGCTTCTGAAAGTAGGTATTGAATGTTTTTGCATTGGCGGATCCAGAACAGATGTCTCGGACGCTGTGGGAGGGGAGGAGGAATAAGTTTCCGTAAAAAAAACTCCTCGTATTTAGATACCTCACGCACTGCTCTGCAGTTTAGCCCTCGCCCGTATTGGTGTTTTCCAGCCGCGAACGTATAAGGGGGGGGGGGGGTCCGTTGGACCCCCCCTTGCCGTTTCGCCCCTGATCGAGCTAGAGCTTTGCGGAAAAACGAGCGTGTTGCCCGTGACGAGAGGAAGCCGATGATACCCAATTTTAAGGTCCTAGGTCATTGGTTGACCTTCCAGGTCAGGTCAATGACCCAAAAGTCGGGAAAATCGGGACCTGTCAGAACGTCGTAAAATGTAACTGCTATGGGTTTTTTTCCGGGGTGCTGATCACGAATATCATGCTAGTTTTGATCACAGATGATGTTTTAATGCATTTAGGCCAGGTCGGGTCAGGTCAGGTCAGGTCAATCAGTAGAGGTCTTGCCGGGTATTCGTAGTAGGTGTCAACCGGCTCTGACAGCTTCGTAACATGTTACGAAGGCACCAAAACTACTTCGTAAATGTTCATATGGTTGCTAAATTCGAATTCAGGCCAGTTTTACCAAAAAATACCAGCCGGCCGCCGAAATAAAATATCCAGCCGAAAAAATAGACGCCACACAGCCACGAGTTTCACCAACAAAAAATTCCAGCCGACTTCGGACGGAAATTATTTGTCGCCGGTAGTCAGCTGATATTCTGTTACGATATCAAATTACGATATGTCAAGGAGGTTAATAAATCATTTAAAGCATGTTTTCAATCAAATTGAAGCGTGATTTCTAATGCAAATGCTATACATTTCGAAATATTATAATCGTAAATTATTACATTATTTTCAAGAGTAATAACAACAAAGTAGAGCATTATAAACTTTCATATCTATATTAACATTCTGGTGCCCAGCAAAAGCCAATCAATACAAAACTACCAAATTGTAAACGTAGGTACGTCATTCATAAAGGTGACGTAAGGAAGCTTGCATTTAAGGCAAATTTAAGATGGATCTTTTTTCCTGTCAGCCTATTATATTAATTTTTACAATACCTTCAACTTGCTATGTACCTTTTTGTCTGTTTTTAGTCGCACCTTGTAGAAAATCATCGTGTAGACCGAGAACGCGATGTGTGGACCTCCACCTATGAGGTGGGGACTAGATGGGACCACTCCAGTGGCAGCGGAACACCTTCAATTAAGGGGGCACTGCCGACTTTTGGTCCCATTCTTTCCATGCAACGCCCATAGGGCTTATATTAAAATGTCAAAATCAAAGGGGGCACGGTGCCCCGGTGCCCTATACCCGTTCCGCCGCCTATGAGTCCCGCTCCCGACAGATCCGGGAGCCGCACCTCTTTCCTAGCTTTCAAAAGAGCGGCAAAGAAGCGGTCAACATTGCTCCCAGAGACGCCACCTGAAGCTGGACGGACGACGGACAGTTCCGCAGCCGAGCGATTGAACTGCGGTGCTACGAGGCGGCTTCGCGTGCTCTGCATTAGCACCTTCTAGCGGGAGTAAGAGGGCTAACGAACTCGCCAAGGCTTATATAAAGCATTGTGCCAAGGCGAGTGTCTTACCTTAGGAAAATACCTACCCAGATTAACTGCTGCACCGCGGTCATTGCAGGGCTGAGGGTGGTCGCTCGCTCCGCTTCGGCGAGGTGGATGTCAGACTGCCCGGCTAGGTGGTTTTAGCCGATATGCAGGCCCCGTTTGCCGGGCCCGGTCGAGAAGAAGGAACGCCACACAGCAAAGAATATTCGCTCCGGGCCCGCTACACTGGTCCAGCTCGTAAGTCGTAACAAATTAACAATACCTGCGCTAGCGTCGTCGACCGTCGTTCGACTGCGCCCAGTACCGCTCAGTGGAGAGTCCTGCCGAACTCCTCCGCGTGTGCCGAGATCATTCGTTGCGCGCGGACACAATCGTCCGACGGAGACCGCTCTGCATTATGATCGGGTGGTCACCACCTTGGTCGCCGGCTTTCACACCCAGCCGAGCCGTCTGACTACGCCCCAAATGATCGTCTAAGCCTTTCGATTGGTTTGTAACTCGGGTCTAATATCGAAATATTTGGGAGTTAGGACATGCTAAATCCGTGTTCATGAACAAATATACATTATGCAACTAAAACGCTTTACTTACTTTAACTTTTCTAGGCTGATGACAAGGCATACACCTATTCATTGCAATATTTCTAAAATGTAAATAAATCATGAGCAATGGGCATAAAAAACAACAGCGATCCACTAGAAGCTATTGTGGAAATCCACTGACATAGGTCGCCTCGTACTGGCGCAGCTCGTAGCTCGTCCAGCAGCGCCAGCGTCTCCCGCACCCGGCCGCCCGCCTTGCCCGCCTGCACCATCAGCCGCTGGAAATGGCTGCGCTGCCGCTCCAACATTAGCTTGACCGCCTGGCTGGCCCGGCAGATGCGCGCCGTCCGACGCACGCAGTGTACGTCTTCAACAGCGCCGGGATGTCGTACGACACGACCGCGTCCACGGCGTCCACGTCAATACCGCGCGCTATAGCCTCGAGCACACCAGCGCGGCCATCTCACCTAGCGCGCGCCGCCGCCGGCACGCCGGCACTACCCCACAGAACTCAGTCACGCGCGCGCCCAGCACAGACAGCGGTAGCTCCAGCTGGTGCGCCACCTCGTTCCAGTTGACCAACACGAGCGAGCGTCGCCAGTCGGGCTGTCGGAGCAAATGGTGCATCACCAGCGGCTTCAGCGGCTGCGGCGCCACCACGTTGAACGACTCGCTCAGCTCGGCCGGCGTGGTGAACCTGCCGACGAACTAACCGGGCAGTGCGACGGCGGCGGCCGCCGTGCCGGCCGCCAGCAGTCGCGGCTGGAACAGCGACATTCGCTCCAGCTTCTCCGGCCTCCGGGTTCTGTGACAGGGTGGCCAAGAACGGCAGCTTCTGCAGCGGCAGGTGAGGCGCGCAGACGGCGGCGGCCGTCAGCCGGCCGGCGATGCAGGGCGGCGGGCCGTGGCCGCCGCCACCCGCTCCACCGCTTTCAGCCAGCCCGTCTCGGCCATCTCGATCACCCGGTCGGCTTCGTCGATCACCAGGTAGCGCAGGTGCGCTAGCGAGAAGCCCTCGGAGCTGGTTATGTGATCCATCAGCCAGCCGGGAGTGCTCACCACGATCAGCCAGGGAGACCGGGCCGCGCGGCCCACCGCCACCAGTTGGCGCCCCCTCGTGCCACTGTGTCTCCACCAAGCAGCCGGACGCAGAGCGGCGTGTCGGCGTCGTACTGGCGGAACACGGCGGGCACCTGAGCGGGCAGCGCCTGTGTGGGTAGCACACTAGCACAGCTAGCGCGCGCACCCGGCGGCCGGCGCCGCGCCTGCACTACCGGCAGCACAAACGCCAGCGTCGTACCGCGGCCGGCCGGCGCCGAGACGCAGAGGTCGGCCGGTGGCAGCGGCGACTCTGAGGCCGCCAGCAGCTCGGGCAGCACGGTCACCTGCACCAGGAACACCTGTTCGATGCCCTCGGCGGCCAGCCGGGCGCGCAGCTCGGGGCAGAGCGCCGGCAGATTGGCCGGCGCCGGCCGCCGGTCGCCAATCGGCTGCGGGTGCGCCAGTCAGTCGGGCAGCGCACGCGGTGCACGGCCTGTCGGCTCGAGCGCTCCACCTCGTCCAGCACGGTGAAATCGTCAGCGGCGGCGTCTCCGTCCGACTCGGAGGTGTCCTCACTGTCGTTGTTGGCGACGGCGGCTGCCGCTGTGCGCTCAGTCGGCCATCACAGCAACACTCGCCGATTATTAGCGTCATCGAAACCGTCGGACGACGGTGGATTCACCACCGTTTTTGCAGCAGAGACTGGAAAAACCTCAGCAATAAACAAGGAAAAACCTCACAACATGCCACAGCCTGCAATTGTGCATATTGTCATTATAT